TAATTTCCAATTAATTAATTAATAATGAAATTTTTATTCACCTTTGTTAACATTTTAAAAAAAAGAGTTACAATCAAGATCATTTAATGAAATATTACTTGCATAAATTTTAGATTTAGCAATCTCTTCATCTAAAATTCTACTTTTATGATACGCATCTGGATGTGATTTGTGTACTTGTTGCGAATCACCACCACCACTACTAGTACTACTACTACTGATATTATTATCATCATCATGAATTGCATTAACTGCAAAATCAAGCAGCTCATAAATAGGTGGTCTTTTTGATGGATCCACATCCCAACATCTCTGCATCATTTGCACATAATTATCAGGCATTCCTGGTAATATTGGTGGTGGTCGTAAACCTTCTGCACATATATCAAAAATTAAATGATGATCGTGAGCTCTATCATCAAATGGTGGATGACCTGCAAATATTTCCCACATTAACATTCCAACACTATAGATATCAGATTCTTTGGTGTTCTTTTTGCCTCTAAGTACTTCGGGTGCAACATATGATACAATTCCATAGACTTTATCTGATGATTTTTCATCAACTGGTCCACATAATCCTAAATCTGTAATATAACAATCACCTCCTTTCATTAATATATTACCACTATGTAAATCACCATGGTTCAAATCTTCTTGATGTATAAAATATAATGCACCACACAAATACGTAAAGATTGTAATTCTGTCTTTTAATGTTAAATTTAAATGATTTTTTTGCAAATAACCCCTTAAACTTCCATCTGGGAAATAATTTAAAACTATTGTATAATTTCCATTATATGGGAATTTAGTTATACCATAAACCATCACTGGTGTTTTAACTTTACAATAATTCATTGCCTGAAAATAAATAAAATCAATTAGTATTATATAATACTGTATTATTTAAATGACAACTACCAACCTTATCAAAAAAGCCTTTTCCTGGATTACTTGAATCATTTAAGCTTTTTAATACTACCATTTGTTCACCAAAATAACTAAACTCCTTTTTATTTTCGTCATAATCATCAAAAGTTCCTCTTGTCCATGTGGCAGTAAAAATCGAACTAAATCCACCTTCTGTCAACTTTCTTACTTTTTTAAATTGCTCAAAAGGTATCCATTCTAAAGTATAATTTGGCAGAGATGATATCATTTGACATTGTTGAATAAAATGGTCAATTATGTTATTTCCAGATGTCCAAGTAGTGAAAAGACACTGTAATTCTAAACTAATGCAACTTTCGCAGAGTCTATCAGAATATCTTGTCAATCTACATTTGTTGCACTCTTTTGGTTTGCCTGATCTATCTCTTGCAATTGCTAATTCAATCTCAAAAATAAAACGTTCCTTACAATATTCTTTTTCATTTTCAAAAAGTTCTTTGTTTTCATTGACTAATGAAAAAAAATAATCTTTCCTACTTTCTTTATCAGAATTAATTGCAGCATTATTACCCATTTCAGCATCGATTTTAAAAACGATGTTTCTTCTTTCTGGTGATATTGATGATAATGATTCACTATATGACATTGTGTAAAAATATAAAATATAAAAATTGAATAGATCGGAGAAAAGGAGATTTTTTTTTAGTGTAGCGGTTACATTATCTCTGTGTTACGATGCCTTATTAAATGTAATAATAACCCTTTTTTTTTTTTTTATTAATTAAATTCGTGAACAATTTCCCTTTGTATGTGTGATTTTTTTAAATAAATAAAAAACAAATAAACAAATAAATTTTTTGCTCGACGCAATGAATAAAATATTAATATTGATATAATAATAATATGACTGACTAATGTTGATACTCCGAACGAATATATAGATACCTCGAATTTGAATGTAACGTGTAAAGCCAAATCATGCATAGGATACTACGTGTCTCGACCCTCGAATTTGAATGCAGAAATTATTTTAACATCAACAAAAATTCATCTAATGCTTCAACAATAAAGAATTTTAGCATTCTTTTTTTTCTATTTTAAGATTTCAGAATTAACCTTACAAAAGTTGTTCTACCCTATGTACGTGTTTCAAATTCAGACGCTCAAGCACATTATTAATATTATTGCGTATTACTTGGTTAACAAAATTCAAATTAACAATTTGATTTTTTCATTTTATGAAATGTAATAAAAGAATAATAAAAAGAAGATACATTTTTATTTTGAAAGAGAATACACGGAAAAAATTGTATATAATAATAATTATTATTATTATAATTATATATTCAATTTAATAAACTTCCCATGACAATTATTCTTCTTGCGTCATTGCAAGATACATACAATAATAATAATCCCCGGTGAAATGTAGTGAAGCAAACTCGGGTGATTTCAGCACTTGAATTAATATCTGTATGCGTGTTATAGGAAAAAAAAATTTAAAAATGTCGTAATGATCTCAATCACAAATTATTTTCAGTTTATAGCTTTTCCTTAACCTTTTCTTTGATTAGACAATAGAGTCAGTTAATAATGTATGACGAAACTTTTGACTTTAGTTAGTCATTGACGTAACTAGAGTATTGATTAAAGGTGATTTCTCACTAGGGCCATTTTGATGATTTACTAAAGTAAAAGCTCTTGACATAAGTAAAAACACCAGCAATAATGATAAAATAAGATTATCAAAAGTTCCATTACGTAAAAATGTGTGTCCCGGATCAACTTTGTTTTTAAACGCTTGTGGAGGGAAATCGATAATATTAATAATATTTATAAATCATATCCAAGAATCGTTGGAGAGACTAGACAATTACCATCTGGTGCGTAAATCAGCGAATGTTTCGAACGCTGTCTACCAGACAATTTGTGCAGCTTTTGAATGTCAAGGTCAAAATTTTCAGCTTGTTCTCGTACCTATATGCCAACACTTTATGGGAACAATTTAGCAAATTGCTGTTAAGCGAGACTAACACAAGTAAAGTTGGCCCTATTGAAGGTAATTGATTGTTTGTTGTTTTGTTTATTAAAAATATAACAGATTTTACAGATTTTATGAACGCTGTCACATAAGCTTATTATACTACTTGATAATTATTACGATTCTGACAGTTAAACAAAATTCTCAAGACTACAAGTCACTTCCATTACGGAAATATTTCTACTCTTTTAATTCGTTGCGTTAGACTCCAAATTTATAGTAAACGTCTTCGATTCCAAAAGACAACTATATTTCCCACTGATTAACCCCCAACCGCTTGATAATATTTAAAAAAAGGAGCGACTGCGGCGTACCACAATCACCCCAACCACCAAAAATTATGCGCTCGAGATACCCGTAGAGGATATTCGGAGCAATAGGCACCAGCGCTGTGCAATGCCAGCACCCATCACCCGTACCGCCACCTTCATGATCATGGCAGTACCGCGCCAGGTAAGTATGAAGAAAAACGTTTTGCAAATGTGAAATTTTATTTATTTCAAAATTTTTAAAATAAGAAATTATGGGATAATTTGTGTTGTGGAACAAAAAAAAACTATCATTACCATTTTATCACTTTTTTGTCATCAATTCGTCAATTTTAATATAGTCGTTTATGTTCATTTCATACATATGTAGACGATCAATCCACTTACCTTTATTTTTTTGATCTATATTCGATTACGAAATATTTAAAAGATTAGTAATATACGTCAACCATACTACCATTTATTGAGAGTTAATATAGTTCATTCATTGTCTATTTTTTTTTTTTTTCACCAAACAAAAAAAATTGCTCACTCGTACAAACTCCAAAAAGGGATAGATTTGTATTATTTTATTACTATTTATGGAAAAGAATATTTAAAATAAAAAAAATAAAATAAAAACCCTCAAAAAAATTCTTTGCTCAAGAAAACACTACGAAAAACTAATTCAACGATAACAATAAATAAATCAAAAATGACTGTAAGTAATTAATTATTTATAATTACTTTTATATTACAATTTAATTATTTCCAAAATCATTAATAATAATGATATTTTTATTTTATTTGTTATGATGTGATGATGATAATGATGTATATAGCAAACTCATAAATTTGAAGTTAACCCAATGACATGTAACGGTTGTTCTAATGCGGTCAAAGGCGCTTTGACCAAGAAAGGTACATTTAAATAAGCATACAACTGTATTAATTAATCAAATTGATTGTGTAATAATTATCTTTTTGCTACAAAAATAAAATTTTTTTTAAAAAAGGAATCGAGACTTCTGACATCAAGATCGATCTTACTAGTAAAATTGTCGAAGTTAAAACAGATCTTACAGCTGATGAAGTTCTTACTGCTATTACAGCAATTGGGAAAACTGCTGTAAAAGTGGATTAGTCATTTATTCATGAGAATGAATAACAATAACGATATAATATAATAATAATAATAATAATAATAATAATAATAATAATTATTATTATTATTAATTTTTTGGTTCTTTAAATTATCAATAATTTGAATAATTTCGATATTATTATTATATTTCAATATTATTTATATATTTAAATATTCTTCTTTATTTGTTATATGGTTAAATGTTTTTTTTTTTTGTTTGTAGAATGATAATAAAGTTTTAAATTTTTATTTCTTTCTATAATATAATTATTGATAATAGATATAATTGTTACGTACATATTATATTTATAATTTTCTTGAATAGGTCATTATTACAAGTGAGTGAAGAAGTAACAAATTTCTCAGCTCTCCCTCCCTCCTGTCCTAACAAATAAAATTTGAATCATGTGATTGGTCTTTTTTGGAAATTGATAAATCACATGATCGACAAAATAATAATAAATGTTCCTTGATTATCTATCTTTTCTATCTCTTTCTATCTCTCTCTCACTTTCACTCTCGCAAGTCTTTTTTCTCTTCTCTTTTTCTTTTTTTCCTTCTTCTTCAAATTTACATCTTTCTCCAATACCTTTTTTCTTATTTACTACCACACCCACAAAAGTAACAAATTGACAAATAAAAACACACCAAAAAATTTTTTTTTCAAATACCAATGTCTCCGACTTTTACAGATTTATGTGGTGAATCTGACTCAATAACACAACAAACTAATGATATTCTATATAAAATTAACAAAATAGAAAAAGAAGAACTTGAACAATTGGAGGGGTATTTAATGTTAAGAGAACAACAACAATCACTTAAAAAAAAACACGACGAATTATTCAAAAAACTACAATATTTATCAGATAAATATAATAATAAATTACCGAGAAGATTAAAAGATGCCTTGAAAAAATTTCAAAAGCCTAGCAAAAACAAAAACGATGTTCATGTTCATAATAATGATATCTTTGGAAGGAATGGTATAAACTTTGTTTATTCTTGAATATTGTTATTATCACTATTATCATCGTTTTCTAGATTAACATTCTACTTTGGATTAATTATTATTATCTTCAGCAGCTTCAACTACTTTGTCTACCTTTTCTACCTTTTCTACTATTTCTTCTTCTTCTTCTTCTTCTAGTTATTCTTCTGGTTCTTCTTCTTCAGTATCTTTTGCATCATCATCTTCCTCTTCCTCTTCCTCTTCTTCGGTAACTTTCACCACTTCACCCTTTTCTAATAATAAAAAGTATAAAAATGAATCAACAACCACAATCGACGAAATTAATCGGAATTATTTACAATCAAGATTGGATTGTTCAAATAAACTAATGCAAGTTAAACGTGAATTATTCAAATGCATAGAAGAACAAAATGTGGTTGATCAGAATAAAGAAAGTTTGAAAAAGAAAAAACAAAAATTACAACTGGAAAAACAATCTTTATTAGGGTTAAAACAAAAATTGGAACAAAAACAAAATGATTTGATGTTAACTGGTTTTTTGGGAAAGTGAAATCTCGTGCTGTATAATTTATTGTGATTGGTTGTTTGGTTTGGCTGATTATTGGTTTTGCGTAGTTGGTGGAAAATTAATGATCTCTTTTTTTTTTTTTTATCAAGAAAATTTTATTTGATTCTTTTTTTTTTTAAATGATTAATTGGAATTATTTAATAATTTATTATTGTCGTTATTATTATCATCAATCAATAAATCAACGATTAATTAACAACTCTGTAGATTACAATATTATATATTTTTTGTGTGTTATATATATTCTGATAAAATTATTTATATATAACACATACACATTTAAAATTATTAAAAATTAAAATATATACATTAAGTAACAAAAAAAAAGTTTTTAAAGAAATGGATGAAAGGAAGATCAGAAAAAAAATTTTTTTGATAACATAAAAATGTGTGTGTGATATGTGCTAATGTGTATGGTAAGTTAATTATTATATTTAAAAAAAATTTTCAACTACCTTAAAAAAAAGTTTTTTTTAATCATTCCTCATCATATTGAAGTCGTCAATTCATTAATCATAACAAAAATAAATTTATTTAAGTTATTGTGTACAAAAATTAGATCTCGGCCACCATTTTTTCTCGCAAGAACATTGTAAAAAATTGATAAAGTATTTTTCTCTCCGTGAATTCTAAAAGGTAAAATAACCATCATCCTCTAAACAAATAATTCACCATTTGTTAAAATAATACTTCTTCTAAGTTCATCATTACTACCAGCACCACTACGAAGTTGTTTCTTGAAATTAGTTTTATGATAATTTGAGGGTAATGTATTATATCCTAATTTATGTGTCGATGAAGACAATCGTTTAGACGATGATAACCCTATTGAAGAATGTGAGTGAGTGGTAGCAGATCTGGCCCTACGATAAGGATATTGATGATCATTACGTATCCTGTCTTTCCAAACACACCATTGTAAAAAAATGGTAACATCGAATGATAATGTACCAACTGCACCTAATATATATGGTATTTTATCTATTAGAAATAATGGATCGCTGGATGCCAATGGGTTGGTGAATATGGACATTGTATAGGTTAGATTACCGAGGGCTGCGAATATAAACATTACAATCGATAATCCTTCAACAGATTTTCTTTGGTGCTGTAATAATTAAAAGTGATGGTAATTATTAGTATTAGAATTTGTTAATCAATCATATCATCACTTTTTTTACACGCACTAGCATGCAATATATTAATAATAACCATCATCATCCTACATTATATATATATATATATATACATACATTTTGCCATATTTGAGGCATTCTACTAGTTAAATATAATGTGGTACATATCCAACTTATCACTCTACCAATGATTAAAGAGTTATTTCCAAAAAAATTTTCGAAATATGATAATGATAATGATGGTGTTAGTATTTTATCATGATTTGGATACAACGTTTGTGATGATTGTAGTAGATATAATGATTGTGATTGAGATAGTGATGATGGTGATGGTGAAGAAGTGGATATCGGTGAATATGTTGAAGTTGTCGTCATAGGATTAAAAGTTAATAATAGTAATGCAAATAATGTTGTCACTGAACTGTTGTTGTTGTTATTATTTTGTTAGAAGAAAGATTATACATTAATATATGTATATATTATCAGATTAAACATTAGAAGAATATTAATTAATATTATCATCGTTAACACACGAATACATACACTACTTCTTTCTTCTTTGAAGGAAAAAATGTGGAATAATTTTTTTTAGCGTTATCATTTATTGATTTTTTTAATGTTGTGCTATTACGATTGCTGTTATTGTTATTACTGCTGCTGTTGCTGCTACTACTGTTATTATTGTTGTTGTTATTGTTGTTGGAGTTGTTGGGGTTGGTATCGATTATTCTTTTAGACGATGATCTTATTGAAGAAGTTCTTGAGGTTTTCGATATTGGTTCTAATTCTTTATGCTCTTCGCAGTCATCGTCGCCATTAATTGAAGATGATGACCATGTGTAATAAAAATATTGAAGAAATAGTGCACAATCCATTGAACAAAAATACATTGATAGGTATGTCTAAATAAAGTAATGATGGGATGATGAAAGATACCATTAGAATCAAGTTTTCTTATCGTGAAACACACTAACTATATTATTACTAGAATGTTATTTGACTATCTGCAATTAATTAATTATAATTTGATTACTATATTTATATTACAACCCAGCTAACTATATTTAATATATTATATAATTGCCGTCGTGTGATTGATTTTATTTATTTATTTATTCACATGATTGCATGTAATTATGTAATATTTGTAATATTTATATTTGTGCGATCCGTATACGTATAAAAATAATGGACGATTTAAGGGGGATTTTTTTAATTCAAATTTTACCAAAATAAAATAAAAAACTTACTTGAAACGGCAATTGTTTCGTTAATATGCAACCAACAAAGTTAGTAACATCACCGAGCAACAAAATCATCAAGAATTGTATACTAACTCCATCCGTTGATTTGTTCCTGTAATTTGCTATTACTTGGCTAAAAGAGATTGTGAGTTTGAATGGGAGGTTAGTTAAGAATAAAAATAGGAGAGCGAAGGATTTGTAAGTTGGAAAAAGAACACTTACGGTGATTGCGCATTCAACCAACATGCTATCGACAAAAAACCTATAACATAAATAAAAATTTTATTAAGTGGATGTTTGAAATCTTTTTTTTCAATAAATAAAAAAAAAGTTAAACATTTACCTAATAATAAACTTGCAGCTTCCCTGTTACCATAGACACAAGAACCAAACAGCATATGTATCCATTTTATATAGTGCGAGCCATTTTGTGTTATTGGATCGCAAACTTCAGGCATATTATTAACGTTTATATTATGATATTTTGATATTATGATATTTTGATATTATGATATTTTTGATATTGTTATTATTATTATTACACGTCGTTGTTCTTCTTCTTTTGATTTTATTTTGTTTGAAATAAAATATAGATGACAGATAGAGAGAAATTATAGAAAATGAAAACTTGTTTTTTATTTTATAATTATTATTATTATTCGCAGTTATTTCACTTTCTTGCGTATTTTTGACAAAAAAAAAAAAAATGAAAATTAATAACAAAAAAAATGTTTTTTTTTCAAAACAAAAAAATTATGTATTATATACGATTATTGATGATGATAATCATGAGAAGGGAGAGAAAAAGGAAAGATAATTTTGTGTGGTTGTGGTGGCCGAGCGAAACGTTAAAGATCATTAAAATTAATTAATTGATTGATTAATTAATTAATTGTAAAAAAAAAATTTTTAAATGAACAAAAACCAAAACGTGAAAATTTTGATATTTATATCATTGTGTATATTTATTATCTTATTTATTATTAGAAATTTGTATATGAATGTGAGTCATTAAAAAGGGGAGCGTGATTAAACAAACAGCAAATTTTAGGGGACGAAAAACAAAGTTCAAATTATTTATATGTGTTAGATAATGCATATATATAACATAAGTAAAAATCTCCTTTTTCAATATTGAACTGTGTATACTTAAAAATTAAATTAATTGACCAATTACATAACTCTATAGTTTATCAACAAATCAATAACTTTTATCTCTTAATCGATATATCAAAACACAGCCAGACAAAGATAATAAATGGTATTTCTTCGCTAAAAATCCATTTCTTCCTTTTTTTTTTTTTTAAGACTTCTACAGGTTTGCTTTGACCACGTGCCAACAAGTTATGCCCATATTTGTCTACACACATAATCACATTATATAATGCATTCTTTTTGTTTTTTTGACATTGTGGAAATCTTGTACGAGTGAGAAAGTAACTGTGTATTTTAATTGGCTAAACTTAAAAAATTTTTTTTATTTTTTCGAATATTAATATTTCTTTTTCGCGTTTTTTTTTGTAGTATTTTAGAAATATCAACTTCTTTGGATTTGTAATTCAATCTTTTGTCATTCAAGAAAAAAGAAAAAAAGAAAAGAGGCTTTGATTTATTTGGTTATTTGTTATTTGATCATTATTAATTCATGTATCCATGTGACTACATTTTTATGCAAAATACAATAAATATGCATTAATTAATAATATATACATGATATGTTTTATTCCATTAAAAAGTGTCTACTATAAAGGATTATTTTGGTTTCAATCAATTAATTTATACAATACAATAACAATAACTAACAATAACTAACTGGCCGACTAATTGATAATTAGATAGACGAATTTTTAGGGTTTTTTCTTATCAAATGATCACGAGGTCTTTAAAGTTCCTAAATATTCCGAAAAATTAATTTCTTATCGCATGTTTTTTTTATTATATTAATAAAATAATATCGGAACAAAGTGAACAGAAACAACCTAAACTCCAAAAGAATGTTATTAACTCAAAATCATGATTTTATATGTACTTCGTCATGAGGATTAATTTCATCAAGTGTGGATATGGTTTCTAACCCAAGATATTTATTTAAAACGTGTAATCTTTATTAATGATTTCCGAGTTTTTGGATCGTGACCAACCAGTTTATTATTAGTCGAAATTATATATGAAACTAGAATAGCAATTCGATTGCCTTTTTTGGGTTATACAAAGGATCGATGAGTTGTTTAATCCAACTGTTGAAAATCATGGTTATTAAATATGAATCAATGAACATCTTGTTTCATAACAATTGTGCAAATAGAAAAAATTCAATGTTATTAACATCTATATTTTTTTTTTTTTTGCCTTTATTGGTTCTACTTTGGGGGGATGTACAGATTATTTGTTTCTGAAACAAATCCTCTGGTTCATAGACGAATCATCAATTAAAATGCAAAATAGAATCGTCGGTAGAGTTCGTAATAGGCAGGTTGAATAGGTTGTCTAATAATATTGTTATACTATTGTGGAATAGTTTTCTTCCCTAGACAATAATTAGCATCTTAATAGTTGCAGTGTAATTTATCAATATGATTTAATTAATAGTTTATTATATGTTTATCATCAAAAACGAAATGTTATAAATTCGTATATATATATATATGTGTGTGTGTGTGTGTGTGTGTAATTTTATTATTTATTTTTATTCGATGTTCTTTACTGATTATTTTAAAAATGATTGGATTGATATACAATATATCATACCGATATGCCCAAAAATCATTCTAGAAACATGAGATATATATGACATAATAAATCATGGAAAGATCTGTAATTTAAACCCCCCTTTTTGCTGATACACGTATTAAATTTACTAAATATGGTAATGATTTCTTTTTATAATAAATAAAAACCAATTGATAGGGAACCCATTGGCATTTGATCAATCCTAATGAAGTAATATGTTAGATACCATGCTTGATAGATTTTTGTCTAAAAATGCTAGTAATTTCTAATTCTCTTTGCTTTCTTGCTTGTCGCACCACCTTATATGGGTGAAACTGACTATAAAGGATAGATCACTACCGCAGTTGGGTCAGTTCTCATATATACTAAAAGATTTTCCCAAATCGCAGTGTGGGGTTAAGCTTTTTATTATAGTAAATGTTGATCTCATCGAATAAACTAATTCAAATTTGACCCAAAAATCGGTTATCCGAGTTTTTGGATCTAATCTTTACTTGATTTGGCAAGTCCAACATTTATTATTATATATAAATAAAGGGGATATTTTACCTTTGAGATTTTAATGTGAAAATAAAAAATTGGGGATATTAATATGTTTAATATTGTGTAACATAAGTTAATCTCAAAAATGATCTATATTGTTATTATTGGCTCCAATTATCATAGATATTTTTTAATGGAAATAACAATAAATAATTCTGCTCAACAAAAATAAAAATCTAGTCATGATAGAATGCCTGACACGGCGATGATTGATTCTAATTTAAAACATTTAAATAACGTCATGAAAATTACAAATACAACTCCACCAGAACATCATATGGTCAAACTAAGCAAAATAAATTATAAGGATATTTAATTAATTTTTTTGTGTGTTTAATTCGTGTTTCGCCGATCATGTGTAAAAATCTATTACTATTGTTATTATTATTATGAGATCATCAACATTGTAAAATCGATGAAAACCTGTTCAATGGACACGTATTACACTGCGTCGCCAGATTCCAGGGATAAAATTTGTTTTTATTTGTACTGAACATATTTTAATTATAGGGAGGAACGAGATAAGAAAAATTTGTAAATAACTTATCTCTGTTCGAAACACGAGTTAAGTGTTATTATTATTATTATTATTATGTAATAGATTTTTACATAATAAAATAATTTTGGTGATATTAATTTTTTATAAAATACATTTTATCAAATTTATTGTATAATTTATTTACCCCTAAGAAGGCGAATAAATATTTTTGTTGTTACAATTATGTTGTCACTGGTTGATTTTGGGGGATCAAATTGATAACGATACAAATAATAGACTATAAGGATCAAATTGATTAGGGAAAACAGTTTTGAGCGTGATTTGATTATCAAGTCGAAGCTTTCTTTTATTCAAGAAAAAGTTATTCTCAAAGTATATTGAATTCGAGTTGTTTATACACATGTTTTATAATTGGACGTCTACTTTATCAACTTTGACGATTTTGTTGACCAAGTCTACCGTCGTGATTTGTCGATTTGGCCGATTGGTTGTCTTAATCAACTTTATTAACCCTACGTAGTACTACCTAACTAATACATTTTTAAATAAATAATAATTGAGAATATCGTACGGATCTTCCATAATTTATATTCATACAAAAAAGCCATTTCAACTAGTCAATTTGAGAAGTTGATATTTCTTCAACAAAGTCTCAATTACTATAAAAATTTAAGTTCTATTTGTTATGAGTCAAAATCAATAGTTAAAAATTTTTAGTGGGATATTTTGGTTACAACATTCTAATTGGCTAATGTGCATGAATTTACAGCTACAGATTTCAAATTGCAACATTTTCCGGTTGGGTAAATACAAGAAAGCATGTACGTTATATTTCTTTGTTTACGTATATTATGTTTTTAAATTTTGTTTTACAAGCATTATATGATTTCTTGCAAATAGGAGAAAAAGAGAATGGAAGTTGAAATGACTGATAACAACAGCGAATGGATTTCGTTCTGGTTGAATTTATTATTGTCATATTATACCGTAAAATTTTCTTTAAATTGAAAAAATTTTATATTTACTGACTGATAAATCTATACATATTAGCCATAATTTTCCTATTCTTTTTATCAAATGTGGCAAAAATCATTGCCTGAATTTTATGCTTGTGAAGCCAAAAGAGCCAAATTATCCTCTTGAAATGATTATAAAAGGTTAGTGAGGTCGCGCTGAATGTGTGTGCGTCATTATTTAAAACGCAACAAAGGATTTGTTTGCTTCTTTGATTACAAAGTTTCTCGTTATATATTTCTGCCATGACCATTCAGGAAATGAATAATGGATAGTAATAAAATTATTTTATGCGCATATTTTTTTTTAATAAGATGTCCTACTATTTGATTGCATAACGAATGGTTTGAATTCTTAATTCTACTGCCATGCCAACTGAAGATGATATTGAGTCGAGCGACCTTTATGTGAGGCTCTCATGCAGATAAAGTAGAAAGATTCATTCATTCATTCACTTTAAAAAAAGTAACATTTTAAAAAGAATATATATAATTAGTAGATAACCTGATAAGTTAGAATCGAGGGAAGCATTAGAAGAGATGTTCATCCAACACCCCAAAAGGGGTAAAGCGAAATTGTATATTATTTATATTGAACCTTTTGTTTTTAACAAAATTACCACTTTGACAAAAGCATCGAAAGCATACCCTAAAAATTTATATTGGAAGTACAAGAATATCAAGTATCTTGGACAGTATGCTATAAACTGATGTCAACATAAAAGTAGCAAGTATAAGAATACCGTTATGTTGAACGAATTATAAAGACTTTATCATAATTCCTAATATGTAAATGTATTTAATTAAATCTTTTTCATGAAATGTAATGGATAATGTTCACATTTTTGCATTGTCTAATTAAAAAAAGGGGAGAAGTCATTTGGTGGTCGTGTGATCGAATAATCCAAATTTGGTCATAAGATTTCTTAAAAGTATAAATTGTTTCCTCCAAATATTTGGCGGGAAAAAGTAAATACTGGTGTAAAAAAAGAAACTTGAAATTTATAATAAAGCTCCCTTCTTTCAACTGCAAAGGGCTTTTAATTTGTCTACAGGGGGATATGAACAAGTAATTAATGACTTTAAAGGATTATAGTGAATTAAATTATTTATTATGACGATGACGATGACGATCGAGCTAAAAAATTATTATCTAATCATTTATTATTTTTGACATACAATCAACTTCCATAAGTATGTCCTCTATAAATGCATACTTTCCATAAGTACACCCTATGCCTCATTCCCAAGCTTGGGACTTGAAAGATAAATGCATCATCCCTCCATATCTGCACTACACAATCTTTTCCCAGTCACATTCATATAAAACCACCCTCTCTAAATGCACACGCCCGTGGCTAGTGTGCAACAAGAAAATTATCGATGTTATTTTCATATTTAATTCATCTATAATAAAGAATTAATTAGGCCATTGTTACTTATAAAGAATTAAATGTTGAATCATTGCTAAACTCTCCCAGTTACCATTAATGCTAAATTAACCAACCTTTCTAGCAACATTAGATGAGGTTGCTTGGGTGCTTATAACTCTCAACCTATCCGACAGAATGCCGATTGAAGAGTTTTTAAATAATCCAGAAGAAGAAACTATGTCGAAGTTCATAAAATTTATTGAAGAACTTGTTAAAATAACTATTAACAATAATGAAAATGATGGCAAACATTGAACCAGCAATAATAAGTGCTGGCGAATCTTCAAAACAATTGATCGATATATTATTCTTTCTCTCCCTACATCCCTCCGTGAATGCACGCTCATACCCATTTCCGAGGGGAGTTATACAGTAATAAAACATATCGATCAACATTAATAGCATATCCCAAGACACCACTTGGTACAATGTTTCATGAAAGAAACGATTACATGTTAAAGTCTATAATAGATGGAAACGAATATTTTCTTGATCGTGACGGTAAAACTTTTCCATTATATTCTAGAGTATTATCGCAATGGAGAGGTGGCATTACCAGGTGGAAACTATTTTATGATGACGATAACTAGGGTTTCTATTCGTAATAGTAATACAGTCAATCTTTAATTCGAATTAAAAAAAAAATTTATTCGTTTTATTTATTCATTTTATTCAATTTATAAAATATAGGTCTTACTTATTTCTTTAACATAATATATAAACAATAATTATATATTACTACTACTATAATTGCTAGTGCTATGACTTAAGAAAAATGTCAGCTACTGCTATTTATTATTTTCAATATATTTAAGGACTAAAGAAAAATAGATTGACTAATGATAACAACGACAACAACAGTAGTAATGGTGGTAATAATAATAATATTGTTACAGCAATGATAATAACGAGGATGGTCGATTAAGAAGGAATCACATATTCAAAGAACTTGTTTATTTTCAAATACCATATTCTCTATTAAAAGGAAGATCATTGAGTATATTGCTATAATTCAAAATAATTTTTTTATGGAAGTGTCGCTAAATTTAGAAGATTACAAAGAATAACACACTGGTAAAAGATAAATTTAACGTTTATCAGCCCCATCTTTATAATTCATGTGTGCATAATACATTGTATATATATTAATAATGATAGATTATACAAATCAATTAAATAAATTATTAAGGTTAACATTAATTACTTATATATTATCATGATTTTCACTAAATATTTTTCAAGATAATATAATATTTTTTTTTGCATCTGAAAATTATTGATTTAATAATCTATAAATTACATAACCCAAAGCATGAATATTGCCTCATTAATTTATAGATTGTTTATTAAAAAGGATATATAATGAATACTTACTGCATGTCTGCTTATGAAATGAGACATGATAAATTCCACATGCCCAGGCATTCCAACTGGAAATTTTGGAATATTTCATAGTCAGACACACAGTAGATCAGTTATTGAATGCAATTAATTTAAACTTCCAATTGTCCACATGTTCCACATACAATAATTCATGCAATGATGAAAAACACATGACATTGATTACAATTATCTAAAGATATCATGTGTCTCACATAGTTGAATCTTAAAATATTAAATCCGAGTTTAGTGTGTCAGATCTACTAGAACTATCCAAACGACTCCCACTCGATTTGCCCACTAGCTGTAGTGGACAGAGGGGACCAAGCATACCTAACAACGACAAATAAAAGTCGCGTTTCCACGATCTGACCGCGACAGTTTGCTCGTCAATAGCCCAGATATACGAATATATTCATTCATTGCAAACAAGCTTAAACAATAAATGGATAGAAAAGGTACATATTAAAAGTTGTTTATAGAGGTAAAGAAATATCGCAATGCTGAAAAAGCTCCTCTCTTTTCTTTCCTGTCTCCACTTTCACGTCTCTACTTCTGTTATTATTGTTATTGTGAGAAAATTTTCTTCGTTTATTATGTTATAGTCACGTATCGGCGGCCTATATATTAAATATTAATGTTATAATTTCACCAATTTTTTACTTTGTTCCTCGAAACATTAAATGGGAATATTAACAGGATGAGCTAGGTTATCTTTGCACTTCTTTTTTAAATTTCATCTTGGAATTTTAAATTTAAATGGGCGGCAATAATAATAATAATAATAATAATAATAATAATAATAATTGTATAACGGAATTATAATTCCAAAGTACAGTATTTATTCTTATGGGTCAATTTTTTTAATGCAAACTTTTTCATGGTCATTATTTTCCTTTCAAAAAATCCATCATTAGATTTTCATAATCATCAATCAGTGCAGAGAGTTTTATTGACTTTTGGATTTGTTGAATAAAGAAGGTCTGTGATTAGTGTATAATAAAGTTAGTTACCTGTTCTCAAGATGAACTGCTATATGGAGAGCCTTCACACATTACTATGCATGTGAATACTATTTGAACATAAAGATAAATAGCAACTGTATATGATGACTGTTATTGGATTTCCACTAATAATAAATCAATTGTGTCCTACTGTTGTATATGGTAAACATTTTCCCACTTGCAAGGAACGCGAGAGTCCAAAGAATAATACGAGATATATGAAGTAAAGTGCATGTGTTCAAATGTCCATACATATTGCAATGATTCCTTTTAACAACATGGTAATAAAAGCAGCATATGTAGATATGTTTCTTTGATTTTGTAGGGGAGGTTTTTTTTAACAATAACAATAAAGAATACAGTATATTGCACGAAAAATTCTCTGAATTGGAATATTCATTGACTGTGAGCTTTAGAAATCCAACCAATTCTGTCATGTGCTGAACGAGTTGTGAATCCTTTTCCGCGTGATTGCCTTTTGGTTCCTTTTTGTAAAAAATTTGAAATTCTTTTTTCACATTAAAATATTGGTGTTCAGGACTTTTTGATAATTGTAAAGAAATTTTACTTGGTAATTACTCGTTCAGATATCACATTTCGTATCGCATAGATCTATATTCATTAGAGAATTAAAAACAAACTTGTGTTATTGTATATTCATTGTTTGCCTATTTAAGTGAAAACACACATATATTTTGCAAGAGCTATCAATGCTTGAAAAAACGAACGTTTCATAAAGTGAATGATTAAAGTTACTGTTTAAGGTGTTTGAAGAAGTCATGTTTCTATTACTATTACCCTTTTCATTAGAAAAAAAATTATTTTTTTATTAAAGTCTATCGCTGTTGCGTACAAAATTATATTATATACATAATTATATTATTGTTATTTTTATTAATATTTTATATTAGAAAGGAAAATGGGTTTCACTGTCCATACTATCATGTTGATGATGGTGATGATGAATTAATTTCATATTAGACTCTATTGCGGAATTGTTTTCCAAGTGGAAGGCTGGAAGATGAGATCGTGAGGAGAAAGAAAAAAGATTTAGTTAGAAACTTGAATATAGATTATAGATAAATTGATAGATTGTCAAGATGGCGAAATACTTACTCTTATTCCTACGAATAATTCGAAATAAAAATAGAAATAAATCAGTTATATAATTAAGAAAATAATGACCGGAAAAATTAAAATAAAATAATACTAACTTGTTTAATATCAAAGTGATAGCATCAAGATCCAAATCAAGATAATCAACAATAAAATCACCAATATCGGTATTCTAATATAAATTATAAATTTGATAAGAAAGACAATCCATACACTACACTATACTATTGTAGATAGATGAATGTTACCTCATGGTTTCCATATAAAGCTTCAACATTATCACCATATGCATACAAATTAACATCAACAGCAGAATGTCCATGGGTTGCCCACTATTATTAAATAAAATAAATTAAATAAAATAAAATAAAAATTTTTCAAATTTTAAAAAAATCTTATTAATCAAGTACCCCTAGTTGAGCTCTGTAACTAGTCATATTAGCCAAAAACGCTTCGTAATTTGGTTTATGTTGTCTTTGATTCAAAAAGTCAATATCTGATTGTGTATAATCTGTAATACCCAAATCACTCTCAATAAGCTTTTCAATATATTCTGCACGATCAGCCCCCGAATAATTCACAATTTTTTCTGAGAGAACAAATGATGAGCTTTTGACTTTAGTCAACACGTCTGGATACCATCCGTAAACAGGATACTCGGGGGAAATTTGACGTGCAAGTGATAGTCCACCAGTTTCATGATCACTGACCTATGTTAATGTGAAATATATAAATAAATAGCGTATTATGTGTATGTTGCATGATGTATAGTTTAAATATTATTAATTAATTAATTAATTAATTAATTAATTAGTTAATACTAACTGAAATCATCACGGTTCCTGGATGGTTTTTAACATATTGTTTAACATGTGTAATTGTATTATGATATTCAAGAATTTCATGAACATGTGCTGCAGGATCATTCCTAATAATAATTTTAATCATAAAAATTGTTATTATTATTGTAATTGTGCAGTTATTAGCCGAAATAAAGGATCATGATTATAATTGCATATGGTTTACTTACGTATGAGCTGCCATATCTAAAAAGAAAAAAATCAAAAATAGACATGAACACATTGGGTATAAATGTAAAATCACCAAGATATTTATTCTATAAGAACCTATTACTTACCAATTCTGCTTCCTTCGATCATCAAGAAAAAGCCTTTGTCACTATCGGCAGTAGCATCTTCAAGAATTTTGATGGCTTTCTCTGCCATTTCTTTTAGAGATGGCTCTTCAGCTGGATCACGATCAATCTCATAGGACATATGCTAAAAACAATTTTTATGAATATATATATTTATGTATTTATGAATAAAGCATTATTATTATTATGACCTACATCTAAGGTGAATAAGCCTAAAAGAGGAAGTCTAATATAATAATTAATAGATTTTAAATTAATCAAAATTTATTAAATGTCACAAATAATATTATTTCTTTCATCCATAATAGTAGTGATATACATACACTTGTTTGGATGGTTCGAGATCGTCAAATTCTTTTCTAGTTGACAAAAAATTAAATCCAAATTTATTTGTGGCATCACTTAGCACATCTCTATCATCAGTTCTACAACTACTCTCATTTCTATTTGGCAAAAAGAAACATCTTCCGCCACCTAACATCAAATCAACCTGTCTTCCAAGTGGATAATCACCAATCTGATTGATGGCAATTTCAGATTCCAAATCTCTATGAACCGAATGTGCTGAAAATGCTGCTGGTGTTGCATGTGTTATGCGACTTGTCACCACCAACCCGGTCACCATTCCATTATGCTTGGCCGACTCTAACACTGTACCACATGGGTTTTTCTCAGGATCCACTATATATATAAAAATCAATAAATTCTTCAAAATATATAAAATATATAAAAAATTCAAAATCATTATAATCATTATTATAAAATACCCGCTATGGCAAGATTGTATGTTTTGCGTGCACACGAGAAAGCAGTTGCACCAGCGGCAGAATCAGTGACAAGACTGCTGGAAGATCTTGTTCTTGAAGATCCAACAAGAATCTCATCTAACGGTGTCACTTTTTTATAAGGTGAATTGTTAATGAATTGATAATATGATCTTGCAAATGTTTCTGATGCAGGTCCAAATCCATCCGAAATCATCAATATCACATTACGTTTTGCTTTTTTAGCATCATTATTACCTATGTAATTGAATGTTAGTTAGTGTGAATGAATGAATGAATGAATGAGCGAGCGATTTGCTAGAAAGAAAAAGAACTCATAGATCTTACCAAAAAAGCTTAAAATTGTAAATGTAACCACAATAAAAATTGTCACAAAAACTATAAACGTAATTTTCTTTCCCTTTTTTTTTTTAAAAAAAAAAACAGAATTCATGAAAATTCATTCTAAATAATCCAAGGGTTGGAAAGTATAAATAAACACAAACCTTTCTAGGTTTTATTTTGTGTAATAATCCTTCTGTTTCTTTAGAATCATAGTTCTGATAGCTAGACATTTTTAATTAATATATAATATTTATTAAAAAGATATAGTAAAAGATGTTATCATTAACTGATTTAAGAATTATAAAAGAAAAGAATGGTATATTTTTTTAATAAAAAGGCGAGAAAAGGAGCTTTAAATATTTACGATAATGGAAAAAATTTTTTTTGTAATCATCCACAATAAATTGCCTTAATTGGATATAATTGATACAAATGAATGACTCCCGTATATAATATAGGAGAAAAAAAAAGGCGAAAGAAGTTTCTTCTCCTCACAAAAGTTGAAAATAACGCACGTGAATCAATCATAAAGATTTTGATCCAAAAAATACAAAATAAAAATAAACAATGACGCAAAAAACAAGTTTTTGTACCTGTTTAGCAGATAAATTACATAAATTATTTATTGTTGATAGACATATTCAGGAGGAGTGTTACAATATATATTAATTACTTAGTACCAATTTGAATAATACAGGATTGAACAAAAATAAATTAGTTTATATTAATATTAAAATACTACGTTTTCCAATTCATTAATTCAATTGGGGGGCTGATTACTAAATTCAGTAGCAGACCGATGAGCGTTGATGGGCAGTTCCAAATTTGCACTAGCTTTTGGATCTGTCATATATATAATCAGGATAATCGGATAATATTTTCTCATAATGGAATAATCACGTCATGGATCGCTTTTATTTACACACAATTTCATCGGTGCTGGTACAAAGATGACTGTCAAGAAAAAAAAAAAGATTTACGCCTTTTAATTTTATTAATTAATTGTTTTTTTACTTTCAACAACAAAATTGCTGCGTCACGACTAGTTTTTTTGTATAGCTCGCTGATTTTTGACTTGGAGCTTGGTAATTATTTAAAATCAGGAAATTGAGTCATAATTCCCCAGTCTTCAAGGATCTTTATGCTCTGCTTCCTTTTAATGTTGCCGACTCATCAACACTTAGAGCCCTTGCTATTGTTTGTTATGCTACAATGACACCGTTGAATTACTAGCCTCTTTTAGATAAATTTTCTCAATGATTAGTTAATCTTTACTTTCATTATTATGATTTATACAGATACGGTTCCCATTGCCCCTTTATCTAGTACTAAAAATATATTTTTGGAAAAATGTAAATATAAATTGTATTGAAGACAATGGTAGCAATAGTTTAACTAATAGTATTATCCCTTAAACGGTCAAAGTATTCTTTAATGGTGACGATCTCGCGTTCTTATTGGTCAATTTAACGATCAGCAAAGTAAAAATAGTCAATCAAAGAAAGTTATACAAAACCACAAGGACAACACTCGACAGACCGATCGGCTATATCTTAGAGATAATTTTCGTATTAGGAAGTGATATGCTTAGATATCAGAAATTTTTTATCGCTATCAATAGCCAATTAACCGTTTAAGGGATAATAATGGCGAACCATTATTAGTGAATATATAGTAATAATAACGATGATGACAATAGTGTACCGTTAAATTAAATAATTTACAAGCTGATTAATAATAAATAATACAAAACAAACAATATCCATAATGTACATTTTTTAAATGGAAAATTCAGAAATGATTGCATATTACTATTATTATCTAAATAAATTTATTTGATATATAAAAAATTTCATTTCTTAGCCGTTGAGTCGTCTAAGAGTTGATTGGCTTAGTCTGCATAATTACCACCATCATTACTAATGATAGTTGGAATTTACAGATTGAGGAGAATTTATCGTTGTTGTAATCATTGAAGGATTAAACTTGACGCTATCCATTTCATCAAATGTCAAATACTAGTAACTTTTTATAAATTTCTTCTGCGATTGGTCGCTTATCGGGGTCAACGTCCATGTATTTATAGGTAAAGGTTCTGAACGAATAAACGAAATCCGGACCAATTCTATTCAGCACATAGTAATAGTAGTAGTGGTTGCACCTAGTGAATAATGTTTAAATACTTGGTCAATCAGTAAATTTATTTCTCGGATAATCGATAATCGGTCAAATTAAAAATTAGCGACTGGATAATCGGTCAAGTTGAAATTTTAGCCCGATTGATTATTCACCAATCATTTATTTAATATCCAGTTCGCTTGGGGCGGAAAATATTCATCAAGTTCTCTATTATGTGGTGTTGCGATCAAGTTTTCGTATGTAAACAAGGACACCGCACTAACCCATTTGGATTAGATGATTATATCTTAATTATTATAGTGCAAGTCTATTATCAATTCGTGATTCACCCACCAATTGATGTGCAGAAATTTATAGTAAAATTAAAATTGACAAAAACCTATTCAATTGACACACTACATCCAACCTGATGATAACTAAAGTGTTGACTAAAGGTGGTTTTCCACCAGTGCAATTTTGATAAATATTATGTTTTTTATGTTGAATTAACTTATTGGTGTGGGACCTAATGATGTATGACGAAACTTTTTAGTCATTGAAAGTATTGACTAAAGGTAGTTTCTATTTTGACGATTTGATGCAAGTAAAACCACTTGACACAAGCAAGCAACAATGGTAATGATAAAATAAAATAGGATTATAAAAATTCCTAAATTATGTGTCCAGGGGATGAATAAAGAATTATATAATACAAAAATTATAAATTTTTTCTTCTCATCCAAATTGATCCAGAAGTTGGAAAATAGAAAAAAACACGAGTCACTCACTATATAAAGGCTTTGCATGCATCGTATTGTGAAATTTATGCATAAATTAAATTTATCACAAGTGACTGTTGAATTGTGATATAAAACAAATTTATTCATAGGTTGAAAATCATTTGAATAGTTAATAAAGTTTTTAATATTAAATTTTATATCCAATTCAAGATGTACAAATGCATGTGTGGCAAGGTTTTCAATAAAAAAATGAATTATGGTAAACATTATACTAAAGAAAATCAATATTATATGGAAATTGATTTTAGTAGTGAAAAAATGATATGAGTCAAGATGGTGATCTGAATGAAGATGAGTTGAGCAAAGAAGATGAATTGAATGAAGAATATGATAAGTTTAGTGAAGAAGATATAAATGATACAACTGAAGAAGGCATGATTTATAAATCAACAAATCCTATTTTGGTGCCACAGCATGAAAAATATATTTAATATCTGATTTTGTTCAATTAGAGCATAGGGCAGGAAAGAAACATCAAAATGTAGATGCTATATCAAGAATCAAGTCGGAATATTGGTATTAGAATAGTTTGAACATTCATAAACATTATATTAACATATATCTATTTTATTATTTTATTATATTTTATTTTTTTTTTATACACTTCCTGCAGATCATCGCAAATAATTGAATAAAGCGATATGACAAGAACTAAAAATTTTACTATCCCAATCACACCTGCTTATTAAGTAAAAATTAATCTTCATATCAAATACTATAATATACTGAAGTTTCACCACA